AGGGATTAGTCCCTATATCGCTCAAGAACTGAGAGATTGAGATCAATGCCAAAAAGCCCCATCTGAGCTGTATTCACCGATCCGAATGTAGGCGCAGATAATCAGAAACAGACAATAGGGCAGACGGGCAAGAAGTAAGCTAGATATAGAGCAATAGATAAAGAGATAAAGATGCTGTGAAAGAGACGAGCACAGCTAAATGTGCCCCTTGCGAATTTAGCACACATAAATAAATATATATATTCAACTATCATTGAAATAGAAGGATTCAGTGGATAAAGAAAGGAAATTTAGGTTTAGAGAAGGGGAGAAATGGAAGCATAAAATAAAAAGACATATGACAGGTCAGATAAAAGACCACTAGATGTAGTGTGCAGAGTAAAAGATAGGGAACAAGAGAAAGCCAAGCTTTATTTGACCATAGAATACTGCCGTGATAATGCAGGGAGAATAGAAGCCGATGTGTGAGATGGACTATGGACTAATTCCTTGGAATTGCTGCTAGGTTTATCGACGACAGTTGGAGCTATTTGCGTGGTTCTGCGGCGTTTTTCCACCCGAGTCGACAAAATATCAGGCTTCCTTGACTTGGAGAAGTTGGTAGATGTTTTAATCGGGCCTGGATTAGCAGTTTGTAGTGTCGAAATTGACGCTGTAGATATTGGTTGCAATAGCTTGTCAGCATGGGGACGCTGATTGGAAAACCATTCTTGAAGACGGGATTTTATCAGGCGTAGCTTAAAGTCATAGACTGCAAGCCGAAGCTCATCGCGCCGCTGTCCTGAATCAGTTGCATGGCCCCTAACTTGAGAAAGACATTCTTCGAGCTCAGCCACTACTTGAATGGCTCGAGACTGCTTCGAGGAGTCCGTTTCTTCAGAACTCATAACTAGAAATGCGAGCTCGTCTCGCAGGCAGATTACCCGTTGCCAAGCCTCGGAGTGATAAAGAGCCAGGTATTCGGGATAAATAGAATCGAAGTCTTCGCGGTAACGGCGTGCCTCTGCGGAACCCATAATCCTAGGGTACATCCTAGTAATTAATAAAGATCGCTTTTTTATAAGTAAAAAAAGTTAACAACAGGATAGTTTTATATAAGTTCTGCTTAATAACCTTAGAAAAATTCTTTGATAAAATTAAATCAATGAATCCTATCAGAAATGTAATTAACTAGGAATAGGTGTCTATAGCAAATATTAATGATCATTAAGCCACCCAAGCGCATCTAAATAGAATTTCATCATCAAAAATATAAATGCAGATAAAAGCTCATTAATATTTATATATTCTTTCTATATAGGAAGGCTTATATAAATGTAAAAGTAATGATTAATTTGTTAGAAAACAAACTCTATGGTCATGGAATTTCAAAATGAATGGGAATAGAAGACGTATTTTGTATATACCATCAGTCTACACATTAAAAAAGTTACTTAGAGGATTGAAAAAAACACAAAACTAGGAAAATCTGATCAAAGCACTTTCAATTCTAAGCTAACTATAAATATTAAGTATTCTTCCTCTCATTAAAAAAAAACAATGATAATCAAGTATTTCTCTTAATAATATTGCAGAAAATATTGTCAAAATCGAAGCATGTACTAGTAAGGTTAAAAAAGAAGGATTAATGGAAAGTGAACTAAAAGATTCAAGTTTACCAGAAATAACCGTATATCTTGCTTATATGGGCTACATCGAATTATCAAAGAGATAATTGGTGTTGGTAGGGTTAATGAAGTTGATATACATGATTAGTAAACACTAAATAAGGATGCAAGAAATAACAGAGGAAAAATTAAAATTTTAGAGAATATGAGTCATCTGAGCAAATAAAATGTAAAATGAAATGTATAAAATGTGATTATTACGCTTCAACTTCGGTGGATTCAGCCAATACTTCACGATTGAATGCCTCTTCATCGTCCAGATCACAGACTAAAAGAGCTCGAGAATTGGAGGTCTTGCTAGATGCAGATACGCTTAAACGCGAATCGGGGAAATGAGAACCTGTTGGTGATAAATCGTGAGTAGGAAAAACATGACGCAACAATAAGTCATTTAAAGAGATAAGAGAGTTAAAGGATGAACATAAATTATATATTTTAATTGGTGTAAGTCGAATAAATTGAAAAAAAAGTATTTAAATGGTAAAGTAATAAGTATATAACAGAAACCAGTAAAAACCATAGAGAAAAGATGTAAGATGGTCAGCTGATATACCAGTCTCATATTTAGTGTAAACAGTGTTATACATAAGCTAATGAGATTTTACTTCATATTAGACAGGAAAAATATACAGTATATATACAGAAATGCAATGACAGATTTTATCCCCCAATAGTGCCAAAATAATATTACAATGAAAATATTCAAAATAAAATTAAAGTAACGTTGATTGGCAACGAAGCGAATCTCAGCTACGAAGGCAAAATCAATGAAAAGGTGAAGATTTTAGAAGATTCTGACAGATGCTAGTAAGAGCCAAGCAAAGGACATCAAAGACAATATAAAAATTAGATGAAATCCGTTTGAATCTAAACAAAGCTATTCGAAAAATTCCTAACTGTCAA